CGAAATTGATCCCAGTCCGACTACTCCCGCCCCCCCCTCCTGCGCTCCCCGGCTGTTACCTTCTCTGACCCCCCAGGCTGCTGGGGGGATGGCGAGCGCCCCCTTGCCTTCCTCCTAACGGTACCGGCAGGGAGGCTGCTGCAGAATGGGAAGGGGACTTCTTTTGGTGGGAAAAAAATACAAACGTGGGGGGGCACGCGTTGAGTGGCAAGTCTGAGGTTCAAAGTTAAAAACTCTCAAAGGGGGAAAGCCCTGCTCCAAGCCAGATGACTTGGGACCACACAGCCAGGGGTCCCCCCCACAGGGGCCTCCAGCGCCCAGCAAGCCACCTCCTGTCTGGAAGCCTCGTTGCTGCAGGCCTCGGTCCCCAGGGGCCGGAGGCCTCAGGCTGGGCCTCCCTTTCCCAGGCCCTGCCTACTCTTGCAGCCGCTTTCCCAGGGAGCCTGGGGCTCGGGATTGCATCTCTGTGCTCTGGGCAGGCAGGGCCCACTCGCCTTTACAGATGGGGTGTCATCAGGCTGCACACTGGAGGCTGGCTCTTTCGTGATCCCCTGGGCCCCCTAAACCTGAACTTCCACACAGCTGGGACCACACCTTGCCACACCCGCACACCGCTGGCCACCTGTTCTGTTCAGTCTATCTAGAAACCCACATTTAAGGGCCCCAGCATCTCAAGACGGGGTTCTTTATGTGGTCTCTGCCCCAGGCAGGCCTCCTCCAAAAAGTAAAAAAAAAGTGGGAGGGGGCACACGGAAGAGGGGGTAGAGGGGAAGAGGCGTTTCTGTGACAGCGTTTTAAGTCAATAATTTATTTTCTGTATTGTGACAGCAATGGGAGTAAATATACAAGATCGTTTTTTAATTAATAAAACAAAAACGATGAAGACAGCCCACAGATGACAAAAGCCACACCGCTCGTGCCACGTCAGTCACGTGGCCAGAACCACTCTAAAGCACAGCCGGCTGGCGTAACAGTTTTATGGCATCAACGGGGAGGGTGGGCAGCCGGAATGAAAGTGGTCCCCGGGGACCCTAAAGGAAGATATTGGGGTCTCCCCATCACTTCCTTCGGGGAAGCTGGGAGAGGAGATCTGATGCGTGGAGATGCACTGGCCGGGCCACAGGTCGGAATCCACCTTCACATTATGGAAATGAACAGACACTGCCAGTGACACAGAAAATGGCATCTTCGTCCCGAAAGCACCGGGGGAGGAAAGGACACTCTTCGGGCTCTCCACATTCTGAGAACTTCACACAGCCGCTCGACCGGGCGTGGAGGGGGCCGGTGGCTCCTCTCTGGGGGCGGAGCGTGATGGTGACGAAGACGACCATCTGTCCCCGGAGACTCACGGGCCAGAAGCGAACAAAACAAGCCTAACTGGAAGAAGGCTGGCGAAGGGGTGAGGGCAGGGCGTGCGAGCTGCCCTGACGGGGAGCTCCCCCACCTGGGAGCCCATGTACAGATGCTTCCTGCTGCTGGGATGAAGACCTCAGAGTGGCTAAAACAGGAATGCACCTGAACACCCTGTCCTGTCCATCGCCCTCCAGAACTGGCCACACCCCACTGAAGGCTCAGGCCCAGCGAGGGCGTGAGGTGCTGGGGAAGCGCAGCAACAGCTAACACCTTCACCTGGGCTGTGCCGCGTGGCCATCTCTGGGCTCCTGTGGCCAGAGGTGCAGGGTGGAGCTAGAAGTGGGGTGACAGATCAGAACAGGGGATTGTCGAGGAACTTCTCCAACCCCCCTGGACAACCACTAGCGCCCTCTCAGCCCTCACCTCCACGAGGCGCCAGCCCGCCAACCCCTCCCCCAGCTCAGGCTGCAAGTCCCCTGTGCATGTCCTGCACTCGCAGCTGTAGTGTCGTGAAAGCCTACGGCTCGTGGGAAGGCCACGCCGCCGCCCAGGGCTCATGGGGAAGGCCACGCCGCCGCCCACGGCTCATGGGGAAGGCCACACCGCCGCCCAGGGCTCACGGGGAAGGCCACGCCGCCGCCCACGGCTCATGGGGAAGGCCACGCTGCATGTTCTATAAGGTTCTTAGTTCACCTGTCACAGCCATGCGTGTCCGGGGTGGCTGCCTGAGCCAGGCCCTGAGGGTGGCTAACAACCCCTCCCCCAGCCCCTCCGATGGCACAGGAACAACAGGATGTTTGCTGAAGGATGAAGGCACTTGGGAGCGTCACCAGTAACACTCTACTGACACACGGACGGAGGGGCGGCAGCGAGGGAGACCAGACGGCGGACGGCAGGACCTGCCCGATGTATTTCCGAGGCCCGGGAAGGGCCCTCTCGCAAGTCGGAGTCATATGGGGCTTGCAGCCGGAATCTAGCAAAGCGGGCAAGAAGCGGCGGCCTGACCGTCCACCGCCCCCCACGCCTCTCAGAACCCACCACCTCTCACAGAGCGCCGGCCGCCGTGGAGTCGGGCAGTCTCTCAGGCAAAGATGTTGGTGATAAAATCCAGGAACCGCTTGGCGTACTGCTCGGGGTGGACAGTGGAGATCTCGGCCCCGGCCTGCGAGGGGAGGCGGGCCGCCAGGTCACCCGGCGTCACCCGCAGCTCTGCCCCCGCCGGCCCCTCTCCATGCCGGTCCCTCCGCCCCCGGCCTACTGTCCTGGACCCTCCTGGGGAGCCGCAGAAAAGCCGAGCGGGAACGGCTCCGGGGGACCCTCACCCCGTGCTTGACGGTCTTGGCTGCGTGCGCGGCTTTCTTCTTGGCGTCGTACTGCGTCAGGATGTCAATGAGGCCCATGAAATACACCTCCTTCTGGGGGGCCCCTGGAAGAGCCCGGCGGTGAGCGCGGCAGAGTCCGGTTCCCTCTCCCGGCGGCGCTCACAGCCGCTTGCCGGCCCCCCCGCCCGCGGCCTCAGACCCCGGACAACCCTGCGGCCCTGCACGCCCCCAGGCCCTCCCTCACCCTCGGCACTCCGGATGGCGTAGACATCGATGGAGGACGCGAACTCCCCGGGGCCCAGGGGCCGATGGGAATGGATGTAGCCGCCGATGCCCTCGGGGGAGGTGCCGTAGGAGCCCCCCGGGCCGCGGCCCCCGTCCCCCTCGGCCTCCCCCGCCCGGGCGGGCCCCTCCTCCTCCTCAGCAGCCTGGCCGACGTCGTGGATGCCCAGCAGGAGGCTGTAGTCCATGATCCTCAGCTGCACCAGGAACTGAGACCAAGCCGCGAGTCAGGCCCGGCCGCCCCGCACCCCACTCTGGGCCCTCCTGGGCGAAGCCAGTGCCAGAATTGAGGGCTGGGAGCTCACCACGGCCCTTCCGTCCCTACGTGACCCGGGCTCGGAGTTCATCCTGCCAGCTCACTCCAGCTACCCCTCCGTTAACTACTCTCTAGCGGGCTTCCCACTGTGCAGAGAATCCGAAAGGCGAAGGGGGGGACGCCGGTGTCCCTCAGACTGTGAATGGGGGGCAACAGCTCTGTGCGGAGCACAAAACCTGGGACCGTTCCCAGAGCCCCCCCGGCTTCACCTCCACATCTCTCTTCAGCTTCTCCAGGAACACTTTCTTCTCCTCCTCACTGATATAGACCTTCTGGTTCTTGTTGAGAAAGTCCATGTCCTTCAGGGTGGGCAGCTCTTTGACCTGGCAGAGACACAATGGCGATGGCCCCGCAGGCCCCGGAACCCGCCAGGGCGGCCGCTCGCGGCCCCTCATCTGACCCTGGGCTCCGCTGCTCCCTGGCGTCTGCTTCCGCGTCCAGTGGCTTCCCCAGACCCCGTCACTGCACTGTACCCCAAATCACACCCAACGCCTTTCCCCGTACTGCTCAGCGGGCCCCGTGCTGACCGGCCTTTCTCCTCAAGCAAACACAGCGGCTCGGCTCGCACAAGGCCCGGCGGGCGGCGGAGGCCCCCTCCGGCCCACTCCGGCCCACTCCGGCCCACTCCGGCCCCCACGGCGCACCAGGGCCGGCGGCAGCCAGCTCCCACCGCCCCTTCTGGCCAGGTCGCTCCTCACGGTGGGTTAAGGCTTGGAGAAGCCGCTGGTGACCCTACCTTTCCCCAGGAAGGTCCCTCTCATCCCCACCCCTCCCCCGCCACCCAAGAGTCATGTCACCTTTTCTTTATTGCTGGCTTCCCGGGACACCAGGGAGCCCTGAGGAGAGACCAGAGACCAAGTCAGCAGAGGCGGAAGCTCCCGGGAGGCGACCGCAGGCCCAGAGCAGCAGCTCTCCCGGCCCGCCCACCCCTGCCACCTCCCGCCTTGAGGCACCCAGCCCCCTTGAGGCTCCCCGCTTTGAGGCCCTCTTATGGCCCCCCTTGAGGCGCCTTCCCCCTATGAGCCCCCGCGAGGCGCCCCTCACCTTGAGGTCGTACTTCCTGTGCACCGGGAGCCGGTGGCTGAACATGTTGCGCATCACGAGCACGTAGCTGTCCTCGCTGTCCACGCTCACGCGGTACATGCCCAGGAACTGGGGCAGCAGCGTCTTGCCGTGGCACTTCACGATGTACTGTGCGGAGAGGGCGGGCGGGGCTGAGCCGTGCACCCCACAGCCCCGTGGGGCCTCGGCGCAGGCGCCTCTGTCCAGGGGCAGAAGCACCGGGCAGCGGCTACGCAACGCTGTGGCGGGCCATGTGCAATGCCCGGCCGCCCATGCCGCCGCCCGGCCGCCCGGTTGTTCTGGCCAAAGGGCGCCGGCGTCTCCTCCTGCCTCGCTGTGACGTGGGGGGGCGTGGGGGGGCCTCCAGCTAACGGCTCCTGACCAGGGGCAGGTGAGCAGTGACTTCGTATTCGGGGCTTTATGTACCTGGGGCTCCCTGGCGGCCTAGCGCCCCCCAGAAAAGACGTCTGCATGATGGCCTGTTTCAGACTCAAGAAATATTCCCCTCCCGTCCTTCCTGGGGGCGCCGGGGGTTGCAGCGCAGCACCACGGAGCTGTCGCAGCCGCAGGAGCGGCCAGGAGGGGCCTGGGGCGCGGCAGCCCCCTCCCGTCTCCCCGCTGCCCCTCAGCAGTGGGTTTCAGCGGCTGCGCCTGCTCTGCTCCCCACTGTCTCTGGGGCGTCCTCTCAAACCCCCCACCTCTGGCCTGTACCCCAGTTCTGTGTGCATAAAGAAGTAAATCTTAAAGACAGAAGCCCCCTGCCGGTCTGCTGGTCCCGCCCCTTCTCCTGTTCCTGCCCGCTGCCCTCCGTCATCTCCCCACAGCCACAGCGTCGTCGTCCGTCTGCCTGGAAACATCCAGAACGGACTCCAAGCCTGACTGGCTCCACGCCACGGCGCGGGGCGCTCTGTGCCTGCACGCTTGCACCGCCCGGGTCAGCCCGCCAGCTTCCCGACTGCGGCGCCCAGGCCGCCCTGCCCGGTCTGGGGAGGCCGCTGCCTCAGCCCGTCGCCTCTGCGGTCGCCCCCGAAACACCCTAAGGCACCGGCGCAGGGGCTCTCTCCGGCTGCCCTGCCGCCTGGCAGCAAAGGCCAAAGTGCTCTGTGCACCACTCCTGGTGGCGCCTCCCGAACTCCCCACGAGACCAAGCGGGGACAGGAGGGTCAGCCGCGCCCGCGGGCTCCGCCCGCCCTGGCCGGGGGTCGACGCGCGCTGAGTGTTGCGCCACCGGGGCCCTGTGCCCTCCTCTCTGAAACAGAGCGGTCGCCCTTGCCCTGCCAAGTGCCTCTCTCCCCGGGCAGTGGGGCGCGCCTGCTCCCCGTCTGCCGCGCTCGGCCTTGCCGGGGCGGCCGGGTCGCCGGCCTCCGCCATCGGCCCGGGTGCTCAGGCCGCGCCTGCTCCCCCACCTCCTGCCCACCAGCCCAGACCCACGGCGCTGCCCGCGCCTGTCCCCTGCTCCTCGCGCTCCGGTCCGGGCGAGGGTCCTCCTGCGCAGAGAGCCACGCAGCCCGTGTGCTTAGCCACCAGGTCAAGGGATTCCACGTCCCAAGTCAACGTGGTGAGGCCTCGGCTTCCCGACACTCTGGGGCTGGCTGTGACTGCGCCTTCTGCCTCTCATTTACCCCAGTGCACTTTATCCTGATTTCCTCCCCAAATTTCATTTTATTCTGATGGTTTATTTGGTTTTTACACCCCACTCAATTCCACCTTAGCCTACAGCCTGTATCTTGCTACGTGTGTGTTTCTATGTATCAGTCCTCAGCAGTTCTCCTACCAAAGGGGTGGAGGGGTCTGCATTCTCCTGTTCAGTCAGCCAGGAGCTATGGAGAAGCCCTTTCCCAAAAATTCCCAGTTCCAGGCCCTCCCTGGTGAGGCAACAGGTCAAAGCGCAGCACCAGGAAGGCGTCGGCAGACACGAGGCGCGAGTGCGACCACGGCCAGGGAGGGGCCCCAGGTGCAGCAGCCCCCTCCTGTCTCCCCGCTGCTCCCCTCAGCAGTGCGTTTCAGTAGATCCGCCTGTTCTGCTCCCCACTGTCTCTGGGGAGTCCTCTCACCCCTGCATCTCTGGCCTGTACCCCAGTTCTTGTGTGTATAAATAAATAAATCTTTAAAAAAAAAATTTAAAATCCCCAGTTTTAAAGCCGTGATGTCAAGCGCTTCTTGGGAAGCAACGTGCACTACAGGGAAGGAGGGGGCAGGCGCCTGCCGCGCTGCCAGAGCTTTGGGGGGGCACGGGGAGACGAGGCTGGGGGCCGACCTGGTGGTAGTTGGAGAGGTTGCTATGCATGTCGGCAATGTCCTCGCTGGATACTTCTTTGATGACCAGAGTCCGGTCGTAGGAGATGAGGAAGCGACCGCCGTCACTGCCTTCACTCTCGCTCGGGGGGCTCCGGGTGAGCGACACCTGGGGACAGAGTGGCCGAGGCTGAAGGCGCGAGGGGTGAGCGGGGGGCAACTACGGCCCCAATGTGGAATAAACCAGACCGAAAGCAACGTTTTCAACGTGTCCACATTCTCCCTCAAGGGCAGGTTTCACAGCTCCCACCCGAGGTCGACGAGGACTGCGACCTGGACGCGGTGGAGAATCACACTGTCCGGGACTCTCGCCTCTTCTCGGTTTTTAAGCATCAAAATAGAAACTAGCTTCACTGCTCTGCAAGAGCGCGCTTCCCTAGCTGTGCCGGGCTGGCGGGGAAGGCGGAGGCGCGCCGGGGAGAGCGGGTCCAGAGGCCGCACTGGCTTTCTCCCGGGGGCGCTGCCAGTGCGGGGTGCTGGCCCTGCCTGGCCCTGCCAGAGAACACGGGCGCAGTCGCTCCGCTCACTTCAGGCCACTAGCAGGCACCAAGTCCTCAGACCGTCAAGCCCCGTAACACCCACGACAAGACAAGCCGACGTCTGTCCAACAGCCGCCGGTCTGTCTGGGGCTCCCCGGCCACGGGCCCACCCTGGGGGTGTTGCATTACTTCCTGTGTGGCCAATGCACGCCCCCTGCCGGGTGGAGGCTGCTTCCCGTGGGCGAGCTGAGGACACACTCCACCCGCCCACCGGCCGGGCAGGGCAGCACGGGGCCTGCCTTCGGGCGAGCGAGGGAAGCGCCGTCCCGCTCTCCAAGGTGCTCACTTCTCCAGACTGGCTGTCCCGAGGACGCCCGCCTGTGAGGGGCTGCCTCTCCCGGCCGGAGGACTCACCAAGTAATCCTGGTCGTCAATGTCGAATCGGTCACGGAGGTTCCTGAAGACCTGCGGACAGTACTCCTTGAACTTGAAATGACTGGGGAGATTTTCCCTGCAGTGAGAGTTTTCCGGTAAGAAAGCAAAGAGGCTGATTGCCCGCGTGAAGTGTCCCGCATCACCTCACTTGATTCTCATACAGCCCTGCGACCCTCTAAAGGTCTATCACCCCGACTTCATGAAGGGGGACTGTGGCTCAGGGAGCCTGAGGCGCAGGCAGGGCCCCGCCAAACAGGAGCGGCTGCCCAGCTCGCGCGGCAGAGAGACACTGGAGCCGGCAGGAGGCGTCACTGCCGGCCTTTGTGACCAGGAGGACGGAGCTGCTGCTCGCGGGAGTCCTCGCCGAAAGGGCGGAGGATGGCCAGGCTGGAGGAGAGACAGACTACATACACGGGAGGGAGGTGGGGAACCACTTTCATGGCTTCTTTGCACACTACCGAAGGTGCTGCGAACTGGGAGGCTTCGGCCACACAACCTCTTAAGCTGCCCTCTGAATCTGAAACCTTCCACTCATGAACTCCCAAACTTGTCTGCTGACCTTTGCCAGGGAGGTTGACCTGAGAAGGGCAGAGATTACCACCTGTGGAAAAGGTGATTGTTGACCTTGATCTTGGAGCTGGCCTTGAAGTCATCTGGCAGCAGCATCACCGGGGGAGGCACCTGGCTGAGCTCATTGATCTGATGAACCAAAGCGAGAACAGGGAGGCAGTGAGTCGAGGCTGGGAGAGCGACTCACCACTCAGGAGTCAGCAAAGAGCGAGCAAACCTCCCTCCTTGGGAAACGGTGGCCATGCACGAGCCTGCCAGATGCTCGGGAGTGCCTGCAGCCTCTTCTCCTGCCCACGAAGGCCCGCAGAGCACCCCACATGGTCCCCACACCCCCGCCCCCGGGGCCTCCAGGCTCACAGCACTCACTTTATATTAGGCAAACCCTGCAAGCGGCACAGGACTATTTTTAAAGCTGTGAGAAATTCTAGAGAAAAAAAAAATACCCTCAGCAGACTCAGGCATTCAAGACAAACAATTCCACGCTCCGTCAGAAACGCATCAAAGGCATGTTTAAAGCACACAGTGCTAATGGCGCTCTGGGGGTCAAGAGCGCAAGAACTAAGTCGCGGCCTTACAAGCAGGACCAGTCCTTCCAGACCTCTGACCCAGTTCTCCGCAGCAGGCCCACCGGCCTGGGTGTGAAGGAAAAGGGCCGCTGATTTCAGGGGCAGTGGGGGCGGAAGAGGCGGCCTCGGCAGGTGTCTGTTCACCGACGTCAAGGCGACCCACAGCCCCGCTGCTGCAAGGGTCGCCTGCTCGCCCCGGCCCCAGAACAGCAGTCTTCCTCGGGGAGCGCGGAGCTCCTGTCGAGGTCCCCCCAGGGAGACGTGCCTTCTCCAGTGCTGTTCACTCCCCGTAACAGCGCACTCATCGCGTGACTCCAAGCTCAAGTTGACACAAACTCCCCACCCAGACGTGAGCTCTGTGAGGGCGAGGACCCTTCCGGTCGCCAGGGCCCGGCCAGCACCAAGTCAGGCGCTCGGCGGCCCACAGGTGCTCGCTAACCGGCCTGGCCTTGCTTGAACCTGGCAGAGATTATGACGTGCAGCCTAACCTAAATTCTGCTCACTGCAATAAAACCCGCTCCTCTCATTTTCAGAAGAGAAGGAGGACAACATATCCTCCAGAACAAAAAAAAAAGTCACTTGAGATTCCAGCCTGAAATTCAGCAACAGTTCTCCATGCCCCTCTCACCACCTGCTGTTGGCAGGCTGAATCATCACAGGCATATGTTCCAGCAATTTCTCCATTCCAGACACTTGAAGTAAATGTGTGTTGGCTGGAAGGTGGGGTGTTGAAGCTAAAGTACATATACCTAGGAAGCTGAGGCAGGTCTACGTGTAACCCCCCAGCCCTTGCCAAAGGAAAACCCCCCTTGTTAAGCTTCCCAGCGGGTGGGATGAGTCACCTGGAAGGTGCCCGGAACAGGCAACACCAGCGGCCTCAGCTCTGCCAGCCCAGGCGCCTGGGGCAGCCCAGTGCCAGCAGCTGAGGGCCACCCAGGCTGCTGGGAGCAGTGCAGAGTTCCCGATGCAGACGGCCCGGGCCCCCAACAACAGTGTAAAGGACCAGTGGAGACAGCGACACCCCCTTCATCCTCGCCCTGCCATACAACCCAAGGAAGGCGATTTCCAGTCCTCCCCCCATCCAAGGTCACTGCACCAGCCCCTCCAGGCTTGAGGGCAGGAACGGCCGTTCCCCTCACTTGACGGCTGTTCCCCTCACTTGAGTATTCCGGGGAAAGAAGAGGCAGTAGCCTTGCTGACCTCCTCGCACCCGCCATAAGCTCTGCATCGTTCCTGCTTTTCAAGTTCACCGCCTGGCGGAAGCGGGACCAGATCCAGCCATCCGGCCGTCGGAAATGGCCCCTCGCCTGACATCACCCCAGCGGGCCACCGGGATGCAGGCAAAGCCCGAGCGGCCCTGGGCGGGGGTGGGGGCAGTTCCCGCCAGGACAAGCCTGGACCCGGCTCCAAAGTCACAGGCTGAAGTAAAAGGGACGCTCCTGGCCGGCCGCCTTCCCGCGCCTCGGGG